AAAATTTAAATTAGTAGTTCGTTTTGTTATTCGGCGCAGCGCGCGCAAGCATTGGAACGACGCACAGGCGCGCGCGGTTGCTATAATTCGTCGGATCAGTGCGCGACATCGCATATAGCTGCAATTCAAAACAATTCAAAGCATGATTCAGCAACTTTTGATTTGAAATTGAGATCCTAGAATGCTGTTTTTCTCAGAATATACAGCTGAAGCTGAGCTGAAACTTCATCAGGTTAGTTGTTCAGAATCCTTCATTAGATTTTGAGCACTTTTGTTGCTTCAAATGAACAAAATGCACAAATTACAAATGATGGACTACATCTTTAACAGTGATTGTCGGATGATTTTAGAGGATTGAGGCTGAATGCTATTTTTAAAATGGTGGCAATGGAGGATTTTACAATATTTAGGATGGTTCCTAGCCAAATGGTTTAGTACCGGTGTAGCATGAATTTAGGTTTTATGAAATACGGACTCATTGGTGGTATTGCGCATGCCCATGCATAGATAATTAGGAGAGGGACCGGTTACATGAGAGGGTTTAACCAATAAAAGGGAAAAAGAGTTCGATTTTCATACGAGTCCGATTTTCATATGACACCGGTATGTTCGTTGCTTTCAGTATACCATGTATACTGGTACAACGTACATTGTACATGTACATTGAACATACTACGCCCTACAGTTGTAGGCCGATACCATATTGTCCAGTAGGGGTAAATATCAGTGCCGGGAGTGATGACATTTTGTGCGTTTAACTTGCGAGTGTACGTTCACACCATTGAATAATTAAATGTGCGTTATTTGCACGAGCTGCAGTTCTCAATTGCCCCTTCCGAACACGCACATTTTTGACTGGCCCTGCACTAGTGCTTCTAATTGCACAAAATCGCCAAGCCTCTTTTATGAGATAGAAACAAAGAATTAGCTGGTATGCAGAAACCAAAAGTGTTCTACATGAACCAGTCCTTGATAATTAATACATGTAAATGAATTTGAGTTTAGAATACCGTACATGTACACATATTTATGCGGATGTTTTTTGGCTGTGTACGAACATTACGTACACAACACACAGTATACACTGTACATACAGTATGTAGCTGTGCAGCGCGATTATCGATCAACGGTTGTTAGTTAGTAACAAACGTTCCAGTGACAGCCTTGCATGGATATAAATCACGTTGTCGCTCAGGCCCTGACAATGGGTATACTTGTATGCATCAACTCGTGCCTGTGGCCCTGGCCCTCTTTTGTGTAACTTTAACCTCCTACTGTTTAAACAGTCACCGGCAGTCAAAAATTCCATCTACTTCCCCTGCCATGCTTTTTACACAGGCTAGTCACCAACAATCAGGGGCTAATTTCAAGGCGCTGCTAAGCACAAACATTTGCTTAGCACAAAAAAAATCTGGCTTATAAAAAGCAGGTTACCAGCAAAAAATCCATGTGTTGTATATTGCTCGTGATTAGTATTCAGCTGTTGTTTGCTTAGCATGAAAATCGCATGGAGTTTTGGCTGATAACCTGCTTTTATAAGCAAGACTTTTTTTGTGCTAAGCAATTTTTTGTGCTTAGCAGCCCCGTGAAATTGGGCCCTGATCATACCGGTATTTTTCACAAGCACTCTGACTAGTTAAATTCAGTCAACAGACAAAAGCAGCAAACTGGTTTAGCACAGCTGTGTTATCAATCATCTGCAGCCAGGCCTGCTTTATGTAGGCTGGGAGCTCGTAACTGTTAAAAACAGTCACTTGATTGATTTTGACTGAAAGGACAGCTTGGCACAGAATGTAGTTTTGCAATTTACCGGTAAGAGGGTTACAAATTTAACCCTAACCCCTTAGGTATTTTTACTAAAAAAGTATCATGAATCCGCCAAAATCCATCAATTTTGCCATGCAAAAAAACCTTGATGGCCAGTGAGTCCATCAAAATCCACCAATTAGACGGGAGTAAATCTGTTGAGATCCTGAATCCATCAAAGTCCCTCAACTGCTCAATATGGAGGTATCCTGAATCCATCAAAATCCTGCAGTATCGCTAGGCTTACTGTCCTGTATCCATCAAAATCCCCCAACTTTTTCAATATGGAGGTATCCTGAATCCACCGAAATCCTCCAAAACAGGGGTGTGGATTTTGATGGATTTAGGTACGTTAGGGTTAATGCAGTCCTGAAAAATGGGGTCACTAGGGTCAAAATCCTGATGTTTATACTGAAAACACTACTCCATCCAGAAATCACACGGCACAATCACTTCTGAGCTTCTGCAGATTCTGAGATTGTTTCGAGCTTGTTCATTTGTACACTAAGGGTATTGCGTCACGGTCACAATTACAATAATTTCTGACAACTTTTTTGAGAAGTAACTTTTGGCAAAGTGTCTATACACATAACTGAGGGAATAAATGTGTGGTTGGGAGGTTTTAAACACTGTGTTTAAGACCGGTTGGAGTCTGGATGTGGCAGGTTTTAAACACTGTGTTTAAGACTGGTTGGAGTCTGGATGTGGCAGGTTTTAAACACTGTGTTTAAGACCGGTTGGAGTCTGGATGTGGCAGGTTTTAAACACTGTATTTAAGACCGGTTGGAGTCTGGATGTGGCAGGTTTTAAACACTGTGTTTAAGACTGGTTGGAGTCTGGATGTTGATATTCGGCTCGGATAATTATCAGCATCCAGACTCCAACCGGTCTTAAAAAAAAGTGTTTAATACTGGCCAAGTTCACATATTCTGACCAAGTTCACATTATATTCACACATTCTCTCCTGAAGACGGTCAGAGCATACTGACTGGAACGTCGAGTTTATACCTCTGGTTCTTTTCAGAACCATTCTCTTAGTTGAGAAATTATTTTCACATGGTGTTTTCGCAAACCTTTCATTATTTAGTATCTCCACCATGCAAAGCCTCAAATCTTACCTAAGTTCACATATTCCCATTCACAATACCTTTTCGGTCAAATAATCTAACTTTTCGGTCCAAAAGTCAAAACGAGTCAAAAATTATAAAATTCCAACAATTTTGTTCAACAATTTTACGTCATGTTTTTCGGGACACCAAAGCTATATTATGGCATGTCTAGTCTCGCGAGTGTCGTAAACAACTCCTTATGTGGAGATTGGCGTGCGCGTCGTGCATACGGCGCGATGTGACGCACAACGCAGCAGTGCCGGTGTATTGTGAATTTAGGACTATGAAATTCTGACTCACTGGTAGTACTACGCATGCCTACGTGAGGATTGTGAACATTCTACCAATAAAACATTAAAAGGCACCGGATTTCATAGGAGTTTCAAGTGACACTGGAAAAGTATTTAAGACCAGCCAGCTGGTCTTTATCAGCCATTTAAGACTGGCCACGTGACGGACTCTCAACCAATAGGAATGGGTTAACTGTCTTAGGAATTTATTAATTGTGCTTGACACTCTTTCATGACATTTTATCTCCATCATGTCAACTAGTATTTTACAATTAAGTTATTCAGAAGCAAACCCAAATTATTCCTGCATTGCAAAAACAGAGGTAACTCCTAAACTTTAATAATAATTTGTAAAAACTAAAAAGAGGTATACATACTGTGTAGCATGTTTAAAAAAAAGGACAACTCACTGCATGCAGATGTTATTTTTACTTAAGGCCAAAAAAAAAAAAAAATACTCGGTCTCTGGTCAGACCAAAGTTCCGGAATTGATGCGGCGACACGGCTTTTTTTTTTTTTCAAGCTTGGATTGTACAGACAAGGTAGGGTACTATTTTGCTTTTTTGGTGTCTCATGTACATTGGTGTCCTCCATAATTTGCCTTGGTGCCCTCGATCATTTGCCTTGGTGCAATTTCCCATTCCTTGGTGCTCTTTGGTAAAAAAATTGAGGCGGTGCGGCAATAGAGGGCGCTGTTGGAGCTACTGCGGAACATTTTGGAAACAAAAAAAGATTGACGCGCATGATTAAAATCGACGCGCGCTGACCAGAGACCGACTTTTTTTTTTTTGGACTAATCTTGAATACATATTGTGTAAAAATATGATGCAAGCTGTATGCAAGAAATATTTCTAGGCTTTGTAATTGACAGGACTTGTTAACCATGTATTTTGATATAAATTGAGCTTTATTCCACAGGTAACCGCAATTGAAAACGTGAGGGCGCAGTCCAATAACCCTTTCCTGAATAGGAAGTTGTGATTTAATTTTGCATTTTTGTTGCACATTCATATTGTTCTATTTAAATTCAAATATCCAAATTTTTGAAATCATGATTGCCGTCTGCCATATATTTATTGAAATAAGCCTGATATTATGAGTAAAGAAAAATATTTTGAGAAAATGTGAGTTTTTAACATTTCAATCATGTTTCTGCACTCCTTTTGTATGTAAAATAATCACACTTTACTCTGCATTAAGGCAGCGTACACATTTTCAGACTCGGAGTATAAAAAAATCCCTGGTTGAACGTTCAATCCACTTTTCTTTGGTTTGCCAATTCCAACAGAATCCAAACGTGTATTAAAATTGTTCTTTTACTTTTTCTACAAAACCATGTAGGCCTATCAAGGAAAGAATGTTGCAACCTGACACCACTTCAGTGGTTGTGTAAAAAGTCTATGACTGTAGAGCAAAGAAAACTTAAGTCATGTAAGTAGGTCATATTTACGGCAAAATATTATTTAGGCAAAATCGGAAATGTTTCTCAATCCCAGATTCATGTCTTATCATCGTTTATGCAATGACTGACTTTCATTGAGATGATATATGAAGAAAGAAGCAGCGTCAGGTTGCAATATTCTTTCCCACATCAAAAAAAAATATATTCCAAAAAATTTAGCCTCCCTGACATGCCTGATGTGACCGAGTCTGACTGTCTGAGCTCAGTGATGCATATAATTATTCATGTTATTTGTACACCTTATTTAACAACTTTTCCGAACATTTTTTTAGCCTTTCTGACAACACATGCTTACTCCCTGTTTCGAATTTCAGTTCACCAATCTATACTTACTTGAACAACAACATTAACTTCACGAATTGTATCGACCATGAGTTGTACATTGTCATCTGGCGTTAGCACTTCGTAATGAAAGTCGTCTTCTTCAATTTGATCCCGTTGCGAAGAACCTTCATCGTCGTCCATTTCAAAGTGCCCTTCAAAGTCACTGGATTCCATTTCATCCTCTTCGACGTCTTCCTCACCCAATATATATTCATCCTCCTCATCCATGGCGACTTTCCGGTAAACAAACCTTAGAAGAAATCACAAAATTCCAACGTACAAAAGTTTTCCCCAAATCGAAATCCTCGTCTTGTCTGTGCATGTAAAAATAGTGCAATGTTATGATCATTACGTCACTGCCCTCGAACAAAACTAACAAAATATGGTGAATATGAACTTTTTTTCTGTACATTTTGTGAAACGTATTCAACAACAAAAAAATCTATCTTCAATTAAATATACTGTTTGTATTTAATAACGAATGCTTTGATAAAGAAAATGTGTTATTAATAAAATTTCAAAATTGTGTTTATAAAGAGTTTCTCGACAGCAGACGACTGATTCATGTCTGAATCAGTCACAATGCAATTAATATCAATTAATTCGCACAATTCCATGCTCTTTTTATCCATTATCAACACTCGTCCGAAATACAATTTCATTGTAATTTTAATTTAATTTTCTAAGTAACTTTAAAGTAATGAGAAACCTATAAATCTTAGATACAGATTATTTTTGCTTCAGTCCTCCTGATTTCACTGGTACCAGCTTCATTCGAAATAAGAAATCTATAATATACTACCGGTACCAGGGAACCAGTTTTTATTATTTGCATACAATGTCAAAGGTTATGAAGCTCAAGGTAGCCGCGAATTTGGCCGGATTATTGGCCGCGGATTCAGCTGCGCATTCATTAAAAAACAAAAAACAATCTATAGTACATGCGGCAAAAGGTGATTTAGTTTCAAGAAAAATACTCTATTCATCGAATTTTTGCATAATAAACGACAAATAGCAATACTTTTTTCACATGTAAAAAAACTGACATAAGCAGCCGTTACATCCAATTTTCGATGTAAAAAGTACTATTAAATTAGCTGCATATATGGGAATCATGACATTTCGTGTTATTTTTCAACACTTTTGGAGACGTTTGAAAGTAAGTGCATCATTTGAAACGAAGTGTACCACACATAATATCAAAGCTCACAATTTTACTGCCCGATTAGAATGTGTTCTTTTCAACTGTGCATATTTATCACTGCCCCTTTAAGACAAAGGCTCACATGTTGTCAAAAACTCACAATTTTATTCCACAATCTGCGATATCATGTTACTGTTCACACTTAATTTCATTGGCTTCAGCCGAACACTAATTAGTGTCGCATGAGCCCGTTAATGTGCCCCTATTTTTTCTGCGACCCAATTTTACGAAGCCGAATAGAACCAATTCGAATAGTGCAGGGCAAATGCGGTCACTTTAACGGGCTAATTCGGCACTACTTAGTGTTCGGCTGACGCTTAAACCAAAATGAAGTGCGCCCAGTGAAATTATTTCGCAGATTATGAAATACAGCTGCGTGTTTTTGACATGTGCGGGTACACTTTGTTTGTTTTAAACAAGCAGTAATACAGTGTGAGTAAAAAAAAGAAAAAAAGAAGCGAAACCCAAATGTTGGGACTATTATTTTAGTGGAGTTCTGCATGACAAACAAGATTTGCCTCACTTTTGCACAGAAACGTACGATAGTCAAGCTGGACACGCTCTCAAAAATTAAGTGACGCATTGATTTGATTTTTTTGCCAGTGGATTGGTCAAGACAAACAAACAAGAAAAGCTATCTCTAAAATTAAGTGACGCATTGAATTGAATTCTGGCCAGATGATTGTTCATGAAAAAGTAGACGTTTAAAACACTAGATTGTTACGATCATATTATAATTACAGCTCCACGGTTTCTCACGCCATTCAAACTACTCATGCTACACATCGTAAAAACTAATTGCACGAAATTTCAATTTAATCCATTTTGTATTTCTTGAGTAGTTCATCGGAACGAGGTTGTTCTTTTTCTTCAATTGTGCAGCATCCGTATTGATGCGTTGCCGAGACCACTATTTATGTGGCGCGCCCTCTATTATAGTGGTCTCGATCTCCACCACCAAACTCGATTTGGGGCCCACAACTCAAGAAATACACATTACATTAAAATGAATTTGTGTACACTCATTTGTCATGATGTTTGGCATCAAAAGATTTCATTTCAGAAAAAAACGTCAAATAATCAAGCTATTATGAAAGTAACAATACAGGATTTTATTTGCAACAAATACAATCCTTATGGAAATCAACATGGATTTTTAACGTTTAAAACACTAGATTGTTACGATCATATTATATTTATAGCTCCACGGTTTCTCACGCCATTCAAACTACTCATGCTACACATCGTGAAAACTAATTGCACGAAATTTCAATTTAATCCATTTTGTATTTCTTGAGTAGTTCATCGGAGACGAGGTTGTTCTTTTTCTTCAATTGTGCAGCATCCGTATTGATGCGTTGCCGAGACCACTATTTATGTGGCGCGCCCTCTATTATAGTGGTCTCGATCTCCACCACCAAACTCGATTTGGGGCCCACAACTCAAGAAATACACATTACATTAAAATGAATTTTTGTACACTCATTTGTCATGTTGTTTGGCATCAAAAGATTTCATTTCAGAAAATGAAGTCCATTAATCAAGCTATTATGACCGTAACAATACAGGATTTTATTTGCAACAAATACAATCCTAATGGAAGTCAACATGGATTTGTAACGTTTAAAACACTAGATTGTTACGATCCTATTATATTTATAGCTCCACGGTTTCTCACGCCATTCAAACTACTCATGCTACACATCGTGAAAACTAATTGCACGAAATTTCAATTTAATCCATTTTGTATTTCTTGAGTAGTTCATCGAAAACGAGGTTGTTCTTTTTCTTCACTTGTGCAGCATCCGTGTTGATGCGTTGTTGAGACCACTATTTACGTGGCGCGCCCTCTATTATAGTGGTCTCGATCTCCACCACCAAACCCGATTTCGGGCCAACAACTCAAGAAATACACGTTACATTAAAATGAATTTTTGTACACTCATTTGTCATGATGTTTGGCATCAAAAGATTTCATTTCAGAAAAAAAGTCAATTAATCAAGCTATTATGACCGTAACGATACAGTACATATAGTACCTGAAGGGGGACAGAATTAACGGGCCGGGGAGGACACTTTTACCTAGGTAATTCTGTCCCCCCGGACACCTTTAACGGGGGACAGAATCACTAGTTTTATTTAGCGCGCCTTTCTCGAAAGTAACTTTCAGTTGTTGTTTGACGGTTTCTCACGAAATTGAATCTCCTTATGTAACACATCAAAACCGATCACTGTCCAAACTTACAATATAATACAGCCCATGGGCGTTGACTTTCTTATTTCATTGTTTGCATTTATCGCGTTTAGAATATATTTGCAAGTTCGGTCATATCATTTGTTATTGTTTGACGGTTTCCCATAATATTAAATTTACTAATCACGGTTGTCTATGGAAATTTAGTTGATCGGGTGTACCGTATTCTGTACATTTTATCAACATCGATTTCTTCCAAAATAGGGCGCGCTACATAATACTGGTCACCACCGTAGAGACTTCTGTCAACGTAGATCACGATCTGCCCAAACGAAGTTCGGCGTTAACCCTAAAGGGGCGGGGGGGGGGCGGAATCCGCCCCCCCCCCAACATTTTCCGCGATAGCCTCTAAAAAAAAAAATTTCGCGACCCGAGCTGTTATGACTTTTTAGCCTCGAGCTTTGCGCATCTTTTGATACCAAAAACATAAAAATCGGACCACGGGTTGCCACGTAGCGAAAAATTTTCCGCCGCTACGCGCCGTAAAAACTGAATTTTCGCATATACGTCGTGTACACCGAGCAGAATTGCCATTCATACATATGAATAATTAATTAGCCATAATTCCAAAACCCTTTGACCTATAATCATGAAATTTCTTGGGCATGTTTAGGAAGAGTTGCTCTATGCATATGCTGAGTTTCAAAATTTTTCGTCACTCGATGGTCGAGATCTTGGGGGAGGGGCGGAATCCGCCCCCCCCCCGGCTGAGAGATGGTCAAAATAACCCGGCCCCTTTAGGGTTAGGTGAAAATATTGTGGAGACGAAAATTTTTCGTCACTCGATGGTCGAGATCTTGGGGGAGGGGCGGAATCCGCCCCCCCCCCCCCCCCCCCCCCCCCCCCCCCCGGCTGAGAGATGGTCAAAATAACCCGGCCCCTTTAGGGTTAAGTGAAAATATTGTGGAGACGAGTGAAAAAAATATTGTTATGGAAAATTCGTTGAATACAATTGAATTATCTTTCTTGAAGATAGATCACCTTTTGCCGCATGTATTATACATTTATTTCTAAATTTTTGTGAATGCGCGGCTGAACCCGCGGCTGAATACGCAGCAGTAATCCGGCCAAATCCGCGCCTACCTCGAGCCGGCCGCGCCGGCCGGCCAGGTTCAAAGGTCACCGCAAGTGAATTCGCCGGTTGTGTGGATTTTCCAGCGTTTTGCACGTAATTTCTACACACCAAAAACCACAATGTATCGACGAGTAATATCGAGTGTTGTGAGCAAAACAAGAACGGCGATTAGTCTTCAGGCTTGTAGTCGACCTGTTGGTTAGTAATTTGTATGTAATAATAAATTTAGAAAAAGACAATAGAGTGGATTTGAACCACATGCATATGAATGGGAATTGGGATGTTTGACTTTGATGCACTACAAAATTTTGTCGATCGTGTAGGCCTGTTTCGGGCCCCTGTTTAAGCATGGAGGGCTACATGGTTAAGTTAGTTTCGATCAATTAGAGTCGAGGGTGTTTTCTATTACTCAGTCAACATGGTCAAAGTAAAAAAATGAGCTTTTCAACCTATAAAATTAAAGCAGACTTTTCTCAAAATTTTGAACATTTATTGGTGTAGAAATTACCGAAATTACGATTTTCCTACGCAGGTTATGGTTTATGCCGTGCAATTCAGCGCGCTTTGCACGTTCACGGTACAACATGTACATCGCGCAGTGATCGCCATCTTTATTTTCATGTTGCGTTTTGTTGTTGAAGTTGTTGTCATCGTCATTTTACCCCAAATTGTTCTTAATGAAAGTCTTAATGTCACCAACTAGTTTGGAAGGCCTAGCCTAGGTCAAATGATTCCAAAGTGGATTTTGTTCCCTATAGAACTGTGCCTGTTGATACACGATCGCCAAAATTTTGACAATCAATGTGTGTGTGGTTAA